GTTGATAACATAATTATTTGTGCACTCTCCGTACTAGAAACCTAACATAATTATTCACACGCACAACGCAACTAGACGAATCGCTTGTGCACTTACATATAGGAACACAGGCAAGTTTACAACTCTTTTATTAAATATCTTAGTCTGTATTAAAGAAAAATCAGAGAGATAGAAAGAGAGAGAGAGAGAGAGAGAGAGAGAAAGATATAAATTAGAGAGAGAATATTAAAAGCGTTGTTAATATTAAGTACCTTAATATTATCAATATTTCAGTAAAAACAGCATTGGTACGGAAATTAAAATACACTTTGACGTCAGTCAGTCAATTGCTAGTAATTGTGACACGGTGCATTACTACCTCTACTACTACCGACTTAAAAATTAAATTTATGAGACCTTACTTATAATTTTAAAACATATATCAAATTGTTACATATCTAAAAAGTGGTCAAGGGCGTATTTGGCTATCTACGTTTATTTAATTGCTTTCCCATCTCTGAAATTTCCACGTACGAAGTAGAGAGCGAAAAGCTAGTTGGAAATAAAGTAATAATTTAAAACAAAAGACGTACTGTTATGATATAGATGTTATAGAAGTATACTCACTGATATGTGTATTGCTGCGACTTTGTTCCAAGTGTCCGTGGAATTAAAGTTACGGGTTTTACAAGCGACGGCAATAACGTTAGTTTATGTAGCGTGGGCACACTGCTCGTTGTTTCACGTGCGGGTACCTCGCGTCACGTACCTAGTTGGGGACTAGAGGTACAGTCGTCAGCATATACATGGATTCACTGTTGTCATTTTCGGTACCTAATAATTAAACTGTGCCAAAAGTATTTATTTATACTTTATTGCACACAAATATTACATTGCTATATTCTATTTAATAACTAAAGGTGTACAACAGGCGAGCTTAAGTGTAAATTAGTTAATTTTTAGATTTAAACAGTTGAAAAAGTATTTATAATTGGTTGAGCAACTAATTAGCTAACTGATCCGTATGTCAACGCATAGTTGAAATCGCTAATTCTAAAATCTTGAAATTCTGTATATAGGTTCATATAGCGTAGATGATAATAATAAGAAATAATAACAAAGATTTTGAAAAATTTTATCCTTAAAAGGGCTAGAACTTTCAAAACCTTTGCGAACGATGTCGCGGACAAGTATTTTATAATGTACGAAATTATAAAATTAAAAAAAAAAGTTAAGAATTCAGGAGAAGAAAAGATATAAAGAAAGATTATAAATGTGTGGGTCACAGAAATATAAAATAGTTGATTTTTTTAAATGAAATGAGTGCTATATGCACTCATTTCATTTAAAAAAAAAAACAATATATCTTAATGAAACAAAACTGCTATACTGTTCAAATGCCTTGTTTGAATTAAGAACCCCAAATTACCTCATTTAAATACTCCTGTATTATAGATATGGCAGTATACTTTGTGATGCTATAGCTCTGTTCAGTTCTATAAGTTATAGCCACTACTTTCCATCAGATGGGCCGTCAGCTTGTTTGTCATTCCAAGTTTCATAAAAAAGGAATGAAAAAAGTTTCTTTTACAACTTTGCAGAGCACTATTTTCCCATCAAAGTAGACAAAAACTTTATTGCTGTCCTGTATAATTAGTATCTATTAATGAAACGACCATTAACAAGTTAATATTGTTGTAAACATGTTTATGTTAGCAAGAGTACCTACATAGAACATTGGGTCGGAATGTTGCATGCGAAGCCCGCATATGGAGTCCGGATTCATTGCTGGAAGGCCGCTGTAATTCTGTTGCTAATTATGACTGTTCGTTGTAGTGCAACTATACAACTTTCAGTCATATAGTTGAACGAAATTAGGATTGGTTGCAACAAAGCTTCGCATCGAAATTTCCCTTGCTTCATTTTTATTTTTTTATTATTATCTATGCTAATATTTTAGAGAGACAAAACTCGTTTGTTTGTATGCGAAGTGAACTGAATGGACGAATTCCAAAAAATACTTTCACCATTAAAAAGTTGTACAAAGCCAGAGATCAGATTGACATTATCATAATAGATATTTGTCTCTTTTATTGTAACTGTAAATCTTTGATATAAATGTTAACATTAACAATACAAAGTCATTAAGTGTAAAATAATAAATACATTTTTAATAATAGATAATTTCGAAAATATTTTAACATCGATTGTTAATGTTGATTTGCTAATTTTAATTAACTGTACATTATTGTACATATATTACGGTTAAATATATACAAAACAGAGTGAGAACAGCGGACGGATTAATTAACCTGACATAGTGGTCAGATAAGCAATTCTGCACTAACATGACGGTCACTTTATGTCGATGGCTTTATATATGTATATACAATGTATAATATAATATATACAAAACGATCCATACATATACAAAACCTACCTAATATGCTCGCATCTACATGCTCCTAACAAGGAACTGTCTTGTATGTGAACTGAATGCAAAGTAACATTATTCTTATATGTATAAAATAAACAATTTCACAAAATGAAAAAAGTACTCTATATCATAAGCTATCTTAAAATCATTTTATATAATTTAAACATATTTTAACGACGCTTTTGAAGAAAATCTAATGGATTAAGAAAAAAATGTAAATATCCCTATATTTATGTATTTATGTATAGATAATTTTGCATTATTGATGTGTACGTGAGAGCAATTCCAAATTAGTTTATCAGTGATTATAATGAATGATGATAATCTTGTTTGAATATTAAACAGTTCTATATTTGCATATGCACCACAATTTCATATAGATACATATAGTTATACTTAATCATCTATTGGATAGTATCTTCGATCACTTATTTTAACTAAATTTGTAGTATATATATATATATATATATATATATATATATATATATATATATATAAAATAAATTCCTAAATGCAATTATTTACATACATATAAATATTTGCGTCACACCTGTCTCTGAATAGAATAAAAAAAAAACAATAACTGGACAAAAGCAATAGAACCCCAAATCACATAAGCTCGACGGATACAAGTAAGTTTTAATATTTTACCTTTTTTTTACACATCACCTATTTAATACGTGAATATTTGTTTGCAAGTTATATGGAAGTTAATGGACAAACTGCTTGGGCACACAACCTACGGATATTACTCATTTTGTAGAAAACTAAATATGAGATTACCCAAAATCTATACTTATTGGTATCGACTAGTAAACATGATTTTTGAGAAAGCAAACAATGTAAGATTTTGCTTATATAGTTTTTCGAATTTCACATGAAACATTCAGATCATGTGAATTTCAGATGTGACAATTTTCTCAATTATAATTAGGTACAGTTACTGATCTTCTTACTTAATTTATAGCGCATGAGAAATTCTGAACCACGTTTCAAAATGTTTAATAATTCAGTCAGGCAACCTACTCTCTAACATGCATACATATTTCTTTAAATCTCTTTGTCTTTGACTTTTTGTATATTGTTCAAATTGTGTCCTTTTCTGTACGCCATGGATTCGCATTGACCCATTTTCTGATATGGCTAAATCTGCCGCATGTGCACTAATGTTAATGCATTTTATATTGGTTAAATTGGTAGGGCGACGGCGCGGTATGCGGTATGCGGTGTGTGTGGGCGATTCGCGGTACCGTATTAGAGAACGACGAATTGGCACGCACTAAGAACATGTACTTTAATAGTATAGTTGGAGAAAATTGGATTGCACTTTGTACTTGTTGTGTCCTACCACATCTACCTTGTTCTCAATTATTTGAACTTACGTGGAAGTTTTTGTATGATTGACACTAGTACGAAAACATGGGGACCTACCAAATATCTCTAGACACTTATAGTGCAAGATTTGCTGTTTCTGATTGGATCGTCGTTATGTAATATATTTAAGGTTATTTATTATTACACTATTTATGAATTTTGGTTCCTCAATTTGAATTTCAAATCTCCAAAAACAAATAAGAATTAGGTCATGCGTTTCGCCGCTGGTGTTGCGGCGAGGGCGTAACGCAATCGTGCATATAGGGCCCATATGCCACCGCCAACTTCCTTGGAAGGCGATGAATAACTCATTGTCCGTTCGTCCGTCCGTCATGACGCATGTTTCTTGGTAAGACCACGATACGAGCCAGTAACTAACCGAGATGTTTGACCCGAGAATTTAACGAAAGCTCGAAAAGTAATTATAACAAACGCTCTCGGAGGACATTCGTTAACCGACTACTATTGAAGAGTTTTTCATACCCACTTGATATTCAGAGCTCGTTGCAGTCTAGCGGATATGATATGGGCCTTTACGGGAAAGGTCGCTTCTATAACGATGTAATGTACGGTGAGGTTCCATCAACATGAGGACCTTAACCTCACGTCCGTCACCTTCGATTCCCACCAAACGTCGCAAACAAGATTGCAAAGTGCATCGCTGCACTAATTAGGATGCACCGCGAGTCACCCACATGTCGGCGTCGGACACCAAACAACTAAATATTCGCACACGACTATTGTGGCCAGTTTATGGTTTCGGCTCGCCTTTATTGTCCCTAGTTAGCATTCTAAATTGGTGCCGCTGACGTTTTTTTTTCATGCAGCTAAATGTCATGTCAGAGCAATAAAATGGAACATGACTGGCGGAAAAAGTGGTATGATTCAACACGGGACAATTACAATTATTAAGCCTGTATGGAATACTATGTTTGTATTACTACGAGCATGTTTCGGTGAAATTTAGGTCTTAAATTTTAAGGAAAAAGTGAACGTACAAATATGGCAACATAACGGATTCTAAACACATATACAGGGTCTAAATAATAATAAATTTTATCATATTTATTTTAGTCGTGATGTGTCCGTATACAAATTTCACTTTTTGGCGAAGATAAAAGAAACCCAACTTTAAAAAAAAAACATTTGAGGGAAATACAAACATAAAATACAATATATGAAAATAATATAAGATTTCTTTTGTCGGCAGGTAAATCGGCCATTAACGATGAAGAAAGAAGGTATCCAAACGAGGAACCGGAAACTAAGCAGTAAAAGTAAGAAGAAGAAGGGAGGGATGGGCATGGGGGGTGGAGGAGCATGCGCGTTGGCACTCGGCGGAGTTATGGGAGATATGATCAAACCATTGGGTGACGCCACCAAAGGATTCGGTGGTTCTGCCTTCCCTTCGGCCATGGATTTCGGTAAGTTTAGTAAGTTAATCGTTTCATTATTTACAAATCTTTTATAATTTTTTTAAATTTGCTATCAGCTGGCATTTCTTTCATAGAATGCGCTCATTTAGTATTTTCCCTGATGGGCTCGTCCCCTATCACGTTAGGTTCTGACATGCTCGGCGGAATCTGGGCACGTCGAGTGTTATGTTCACCGCAACGGTAACAGTCGATAAATGCCTTCAATTACAGCATTACTGTTTATTTTTATTATTGATTAGCTTTGGCCTGCAACTTCTTATGCATGGATTTTGCTTTAAGTAACTTCTAGATGGCATATAAACATAATATATACACCATATTTTACAATTTTAGTTACAATTTTATTTTATTAGTAAGAATGATATTGATTTTTTATTGAATTAATGATTTCTCCCTACAGGTCAACACCAAGTGGGTCTGGTGCACCCGGCGGCGGCGCACATGTCCCACTGGTATGGAGCGCCGCACCAGGGCTTCGCGCCGCCTCCTACATCACACAACCCCTACCATCACCACCACCTCGCACAACTTAATTCTATGGTGAATATTTTTGACTTTCATCTTGCTACTTGATATCGGCGATTCTAATATCCAGCACGAATAGGTAGTTATGTAGAACAATTTATTCAAAGAAGAGCTGAGATGAGTTTTTTTAATAATATTATTGAATTTCGGATTGTTATAGAGAGGGTACCTCTGTCTCATTCGTGTTTCAACCGTGAAGCAGTTGTGTTTCAGTTTGAAGGGTGGGATATGGCGTAAATTTACAGGGTACAGAGGAATAACACCTAAGTCCTCAGGAATGGCAACGCAATGGGGGGTATCATAGGAGAAACAGTATACTTGGTTATGTCCATGGCACTGCTCATGTTTATAGGCAACGGTTACCACTTTCCATCAGATGGGCCGTCAGCTTGTTTGCCATTCTAAGTTGAATAAAAAAATATGGTACAGTTTTTAAATTAAATAGATAAAATTACTTACACAGTCTAGGTATGGATAATATAGATACCGATCTGATATCTATATATTAGGTTCCTTTAGTCTAGACATTGACGGCGAAATAAAAGATTATCACTCATTTCAATATCGCCCAATTTTCGAATATGTCTGTTATCCAATATTATTTTTTGGACAACAGATTTTCAGTCATTACGTATGAATATTATGTTGAACTTATATGTTATAGCATTATAGATTATTTCTATTATTTATTTTTAATATCATTAAATAGTATTAAATTAAAATATTTAGGTACGTAATATGTAATTATATATTATACCGTGTTTAAAATATACAATTTTTTATTGATATTATAATTGTGAGTTGGTAAAGGTTCTCGCATTCTTTAATAGCTGGATGTATTTGCATTTAATTTCGTATACAGGTAGATCATACCTGCCCCAAAATTAATATAAAATTTTTAACTATTACATTCGGGATAAATCTGCGGGAAATTTATAATAATTAACAAGCTTGCGTTTTTGTTGAGTTTAAAATTTTGGAATCATTTAAAATCTATGATTGTATTGGAAGTAATGTGCATAGATATTCGAATACTGTATGAGCATTGATCTAAAATGTCATCAGTTTTATAAATGTATTTTTTCTTTTCAGACTGGCTGGAGGAGTGAATACACGTGATAAGTCTACCAAATTCAATCACTCCAATTGGATTTAACTAGATAAGTCGCTCCATACACACACACGTTCCGATGAACGAATGTATTGACCTTTGAAGCGAGTATCAGTGACCACTGATACTTGGACACTGTGATTTCACATGACAAATGACTAGTTGAGTTATATAAAATATATCAACATTGACAACACACAATCTATAAGACTGTAACAGAATTGATGTTTGTATGTTTTTATCTGCAAACACTTCGAATTCCAAATTCGAAGATATTGTACCAGTCTGATGCAATGAAGACTTTGTTATCCGTGATCGGTCCCTTACAAGTATTGTGTTTTACATGAAATAACTAGCGAAATTGTACAGTATTATAATATAATTAAGGTCGAAGTCGGCTTATACGATAAATAAGTATACCTAGTTCAAAAGATAATTTGTGTATTTTGTACATATCTTATTAAGTTATATTCCGTTCCTGTATATTATTTGAGTTTTTTTTTTAATATTTAATTTTGAACTGTTCGGTTCGCTATAGGAATTGTGATGTGTTCAGAGAATTATTTCCAGAGATATTTTTTTTTCTTTATGTACATTTTATTTGTGTAGTTGATATTGAATGAAATGCAATAGTAATTTATGTAATAGTTATAAATTCATGCGATTTGTATATAATAGCTATCTTATATAGTGACATTACGCAGAACTGATTTGTTGAGGATATCGAGTTATGAAGGTACCCAAAATTTCGTTGTAATAAATTGGTAAAACTGGTCACTGAATTGGATTATTTCGTCAGTATTAATAACTGAAACATAGTTTTTGTTTTTTTTTATATATATAAAAATAAAATCATGGATAATTTGTATTACTGTACTGTTGTAAAATTAAGATTGTTGAGTGGCCATAAATTGCGAGATTTTGTCGGTTCATAAAGTGACTGTTTGAAATCATACTACTTAAATAGATTTGTGTAAATCTAATCTAACCTAATGAAACAGCTCACTATATCTTCAAACAATATCTCGGGACCCCGAAATGTAAATATGAAATGTAAATGAAATTTGTAGACACTTATGGAAAATCATTATAAGACTATCGAAATAAAATGTAAATTAGTGATCACTACAGAACGCCTATAACGATATCCCGTACCTAAAGTTTTTAGTTTTTAAAACAAAACATTTGTGAAGTTGTGTATTTTAAATGAAATTGTGAATAAATTATCAATATTGATATTAAAAACAAATTATTTTCATTTCAATAATATTCCCCACACTAATATAATATGATCTCATAAAATGTTTTTTTCATTTGATATACATTTTTATGTAGATAAAAATAAGGTTTAATAATACACTTACAATACATACAGTATTATTGGTACCTAATTGACAAACTATCTATATGGTATTTCATTAAATTTTGTATCTTTATGCAATTAAGTACATAAGCACGTAAGTAATCTACCTAGATACAAATTTTACTATATTTTCATAAAACTGGTACCAATCGAATAAGGTTTGAATTCGCACGACAACTTTCTTTGAATTAGAAAAACCAATTGACCATCCAATTACCTCGTCTTATAGAGCGTCCACCATAAGTCACCGGATCAATTCCGCGCGTCCTACAGAAAAAGTCGTCCAAAAGTCGCGTTTATCTCGCGGCAAATTGAAAATGCAGCCGCCCGTGAGATTGTGACGCAACGGGGCCGCTGCCTGCGACATATGGAGCTATTCAATTTTAATCGCATTTCAGAAGAATGGACATTGGATAAAAGTACGTATAAAATGGTCCCCATCCCGCGTCGATAGGCCCCGCTTAATAAGCTGGTTTTATTTGCGGTTACATCCCGCTCGGATTTGAGGGTGACATTGTCGGTACACAATTATTGTATGCGACTGATCTTTTTAAGATCCACGCAGATTCCTGTACACTTTTACGGTTCGGTGGACTGCGAGATCGTTTCTTCAGTGCTTTTGTAATCTTTATAAATCCACTTTGTGGTTTTACCTAGCTTAAAATAACATTATATTTTTGCTATACGAAAGATTTAAGGTATAAACCGCACAAAGAGGCACAGCGCGGTATTTCCAGCAAGCGATTTTTGAGACAGCGGGGCATAAGTCACGGGGCGGCCGGCGGTGATATATTTGCTGCTAGCGCGGGAAAAAATGTCGCGCGACAAAAAACGCGCCATCACTCTACGCGATTTATTGCAGCTGGCAACACAGGAATATTCGCTTACACTTGCCGACGGGTCTTACTGTTACGGGGAATGCGTGTTCCGTACCCCCCGATGTGATGGAACTTCGCACCTCGCTAAATTACGACTATGCACGGTATTTCGCAATGTTGGAGTAAGATTTTTGCATATATAACTACTTACCTTCTCACCCTGTTTGTACGGCACGTACTAAAGTTTTGCACTATATCTTCTAGATTGCTAGATTTTATCTACATTTAACCAAACTGAGTCTAGAATACGTAAAGCATATTAATTTAATGAAATCCTTTGGTGGATAATATGCCGTTACAATTTTTCAGATAGGCCTATCCGTTGCCCTAAGATATTATTATTAATTATTACAGTTGAAGTAATTGAGACATTGTGCTATAAGTGCAATGAAAATGTACTATTTATTTTTACGATAACTACCTATATACAGTTAAAATTATTACAAAAATATTGTTTAAATTCAACTAATGTCGCATAAATAAAAATAGAAACAATTTTTATTCAAGTAAATTCAAATAAAAACAATTTTTATTCAAGTAAATTTAATCATAAATTTGTATAGTAATTTTTATTTATGAATCTACCGCCCAGTTTGAAATGCAAATTTAGATAAGAAGAAAGAGCAAGAAACTCAACTGATGCTTTTTCAAACAAAAATTTACTTACTATTCAATAAGATAAAATTTTACATAGTTCATATATATAAAAAACTACAAAACTATATTCAATTAGAATATTTATATACTCTTTTTATATAATAAATTAAATTAATTGATATTTATCTATGGGTACTATTATTAGACTTCAGCTAACTGTCTATGGTTGGGTCAATTTTATTTTATTTACATTTTCCTTAAATACTATTGAAACAGTTTATATGAAACTAATCTTAGATCTGAGCTGAAAGTAGGTTCTGCGAGTCGCACGTAATATGAACCTAATTGTCGTCGGTTTTAGCACTGTAAAGCTTGAGAAAGCTAATAACGCTATTGTTCTCTCGTTTCTGGTTTCCACAGTACGAGGAAGTGTCTGCTTAGACAGAAACGAGGGATGAACATGTAATATAACTTTTATTCACTGGACTTGGTAATTCCCATAGAAATGTACGACGAGAAATTGGGTACTGGCAGGTATATTGTTTTGTATTTATTAATTTTTTAATACAACTTAGAATGGCAAACAAGCTGACGGCCCAAATGATGGAAAGTGGTAATCGTCACCTATAGACAAGAGCAGTACCATGAACATAACAGAGTATACTGTTTCGCCCATGATACCCCCCATGCGTTGCCATTCCTGAGGACTCAGGTGTTTTTCCTCTTTACCCTGTAAATTCACATAGAATAAGCTCTGCATGGTTTGGGTCTACATGGCGATGTATAATATGCCTCCCTCATAAGGGGGGGGGGGGGTTTGCCAGTAATTATATACTTGATGGGCATATTGACAACTGCAGTTAGGCGTTGGTGATGTTTTAAGAGGTATGCCGCTGTCCCTCCCTCGATCATAAGCTCCCTTATTTGCCTCTTAGTTGGTTCCCTTGGTTCCCTTAGTTCCCCATGAGTGAAAGGAAGGGGTGGCCTATGCCGGAACCTATACAGTTATGTCTAGCAGTATTATATAAAAAAAAGATTTTAGATTACCGCTTCTTCATACTTGTGGTTTCTGAAATAGGAAAACCAATGAATTAGATAACTTGAAGGTGGCGTCTCAAGATAAAATATACACCAGACTTTAAGTTAGACTTTCAGCAATATAACAGTGAAAACTACATCTAATTTTGTGCAATAGTTTTGTTTCATTCCAGAATAAACATACAGACAAAAAGACAAATTTCTAAAAAATACATTTTTGTCCTCTGTTAGTCATATAATTAATCCCATCATATATATATATATATTTAAATACTTTCCATGTACAAACATAGTTAAATTACAATTTTATTATATTATTGTAGTAAAATTATGTTGTAAGAATAATTATATGCTACAAATTTTATGAAAATTTTATTGGTAAATTGTGGCATTTTAAAGAGTACTTCAATTGGTTGGATGAACTTTTCATCGTTATAAGGTACGAGTACCAAATGATCAGGCTAGTGTTGTTTTTGCCTCTTACCGCCATCTACTGAGACCATTTTGAGGAGTTTCAGATATTAGCGTGAACCAACCTTTTTGATATATTAATACAAGAAAACATAGATTGACATATTGAAGAATTTTTATTAATGACTTATTGTATATCAATAAAATATTCAATTATCTTTGAAAATTAAAAACAGTTCCCTAATAACTTTAAACTAAAACGTCAACAGGCGCTTGTCCTTTTAGTTCTTGAAATATCTAATCAAAAAAAATTTCTATAAAAAATTTCCTAAAAGAAAATATTTATTTATTTTTACTTTATTGGGGAATCACAATTCCTAAAACATATTAATATAGCAAGAACATAAATCAGTGAAATTTCTATAAAAAATTAACACACAAAATAATCGATAATGATAAAATTTAAAAAAAAAACTTAACATAACAAAATGAGAAAGATAATAATAACAATTTTTATTTATTTTTCAATTAGGAGGAAATTAAAAACAGTTCCTTTCTTACATGTTCTTTATATAAGTTTAAACTTTTCCTGATTATATCCAAAGAGAGAAATCGCTCATTATAACAATTATAGGCTCTTAGAAGAAAAGTATTACTCATATGAAAAATATATAGTAAATAAATATTCGAAAATTTCTTACAATGGTCCAAAAAAAATGTAGACCGCTTTAGTTGGCATGCACCTGACGATTGTTTAGTGACTTCCGCTGTGTTAGGGGCCGCATATAAATCTCATATTTATTCCTTTGTTTCCTACAATAATTGGAGGTATCTACTCCATAATGAATGTAATATTTACTTCTTTCTTTATCCTTAATTGTACATGAACATAATGATATAAATATTTAATTTAAAACGTACAAAGGCGAGCTTACCACTTACTTACTAATAAGAGTTTCTTCCAGGAAACATTTTCATACGAAATAAATTATTTAAAACTAAAAAAAGACAAGTATACGATTTGTGTCTATTGTAAGAAAAACACTTAAAATTTGTAAAATAAATACATACAAAGAATAATAATATAAACTACATACTAATTACAGAAAATACATAAATCCTATAAATACATAATTCTTAAAACTTATTTATTTAAATAATTTAATTAACCAAAAGAAAATATGGTACAAAAGGCGGGATCAATGCTAGTAGCATTCTCTATATCTATCAACCTTTGGGACGAACAGTGAATACTTCATTATTATAAATCATGAAATTTATATTAATTTATTACAAGTAAAATAAAAGCTGATAAAATAATAAGTACTCTTTCATTAAAATCTATTAAGCTATTTAAAATTCACAGTGTGCTAAAATTCTGGTCAAATTTATTTACACAACGTAAGATAGCATAGCCATAAGTGTCTTATTGCTATAAACAGAGACACATAAACAGTACTACAGATATTACAGAACATCCTTATACTGTGACACCCATTGTATGCTTCACGCGTTGCCATGCCAGTTTTGTGATATATCTCCACACTCTATAATTACAAAGTATAGATATGCAAACATAGCTGCCCAGCATGGCAGAAAAAGTACTAGTGGGACAAAACTACTGATGCTTAACTCATGCAGACCATACACACCAATATATGTGAAATTGAGTTTGTTTGTTTAAAATTTGGTAAACACATACAATATATAATATGAAGAAGGACATAGGCTACTTTTCACCGCGTTTAGTCCATATCGCTGTCACACGAACGAAGTCGCGGGTAGAAAGTAGTATATAAATATACCCGTTACAAACATTAACCTCCCTTCGTCGACAGTAAGCTAATAAATAAGTAGATCAACATAAAAGACTACCTCTTAAAAAGTGTCCACGAGCAAACTCACAAATCCTATAAGGAGCCACTCATAGAGAGCAGTGAGTCGTGAGTAAAGGATCGT